CTTTATAGTGATAAGACTGGAATTGTATTCATGTTTAACAAAATCACTTGAATCCACAATGATGTCCCTTTAGCAGTGAAAGAAACAAAGGGGAGAGGGAGGTGGGAAAAAAAACCTTAACTGAGTTAGCAGAGAATACCAAGCACTGTCGTCTCTTCCTACCCCCCAACACAGTCACCTCCTAAGATATAAGCTCCATTAAGACAAAAACAGGGTATCCTTAGCATGGGAAAACATTTATACAAGTTTTAATTTATTTTCAAATCAGCATTTAAACGATCACATCTTACATCATTTCCTTTTACGAGCCAGCCGTTAGACAATACACATCATTTACATGCAGTTTTGGAAGGCTGCAACATAAATCAACAAAAGAAGCCTTCACTATGAATTAACTATTACAAGGCTCTCAGAAAGTCACACCAGCCTGCGTTGAGGGCAATTAGGAGTATCAACCCCAATTCTCATCTTTCTGGTGCACTCCTGTTACGTCTCAGAACTCCCACAAAAATATCCTTCCCCCCCAGTCACTGCTGCCACAAGAGAATTACAATGTCTACCTGTGAGATGTAACAGCACACTCACAACAGCTATTTTAAAGTGTTATATGTCTTAAAAAACAGACACACACACATACAAAAAACCAGAAGTGACTGAGCAAGGTAACACAGTTTAGTCTCAATAGCAGAGTTAAGAAGCCTCCATGAACGATCAGGTGGTAGAAACTTCGAAATTTTAAAAGTATTAACCAGTTGCCTTTAGTTCACAGGTAATTTCTGCAATAAAACAACAACAACAAAAAGAAAACACAGAAGGGAAGCAAACACCTAGTTCGAACCTTATCTTGAGACCAATTTCAGAAGCGTTTTCATTTGGTGCAAGCCAAACTTCAAATTAAGCTTACAATTGGATGTGAAAAACTAAAATCTAACCGCAGCAATGCTAAAAATGCTTCTCCACTACTTGCAAAAGATCAAAAAAAACCCTTACGGCAGCCGATCACTTTGTGAGCTGGCTACAAGTTCCAGTTACACCGAAGCAGGACTGGCCTCACTCAAGAGGAAAGAAGAGGGGCGGCACATCCATCCCCCATCCCAACCGCACCACAAGCCAGCAGCAAGCACAAAAAGCACAGTTGCATGCTAACACCATTATTTCTTGCCGATTCCTGTGCCACTCACATCCTCCCCTGCTTGCCCCTGGCGGAAGGTGGCACAGGCTGCTGGAAGGAGGGGCGGCGGGGCCGCGGTGGGAGCTCCTGCCCGCTGTGCGCCCGCCGCGGGCACAGGGCGCTGCCCGGGCCGGCCCGCACACGCCGCTCGGCTCCCGCCAGCTGACTCCGACCTACTGAAGGGAAATTCCTCCCTCCCAACGCCAGCAAAGGCGCGAGGCTCCTTAAAAGTTTTAAGACTGCCGACCCAGGGGGTTCTGTGGCCGATCCTTCCTGCCTCGGCTCCGAGGGAACGCTGCCGGCTGTACTTGGCAGCGTTTAACCCTTTGCTTTCTAACTAATCTAAGCGACGCAACTTCCACGCCATTGTTCTCGGGGTCTGCATCAACTATAAAAGGGCAAACAACTTCCATGCGGACTTTGATTCCCTGGGATTTCAGAGGAGCAGTAGAGGAGCTCTGCTTGGCCGCAGGACAAATGAGCCACCCCCACCGCTGCCCTTTGCCCTGCGCTTGGCAAAGGCTTCCTCAAAACACCCCTTTCTTTTAGCTACCCAGGGCTGGGGAACCTCAGGCTCTTTTTGCCCCCCCCCCCCACTGTTCACCATTTTGTAACAAGTTCCTCTTGAAACGCAAGACTTCTTTACATGGGAGACGTGTAAGCAAGGTTACGAAGATGAAAATAATGTAAACTCTACAGACTTCACAATCATAGGATCACACAGTGGTTTGGGTTGGAAAAGACCTTAAAGGTCATGTAGTGCCAACCCCTTTGTCATAGGCAGAAACACCTTCCACTACACCAGGTTGCTCAAAGCCCAATTCCAGCCTGGCCTTGAGCACTGGTAAGCATGGGGCATCTACAACTTCTCTGGGCAACCTGTTCCCAGGTTCACCACCCTCACAGTAAAGAATTTCTTCCCAATATCTAATCTAAACCTGCTCTCTTTCAGTTTAAACTCATTACCCCAATTTAGGCACAGCAGAATAAAACTTAGTATTTTTAATACCTCATCGCTATGGTCTCAGGCCCACAGTACACTTCGCATAAACCAACCCATTCAATGGCATAAAATCCCAGGAGGGTCCACACTGCTCTGTGACAGGGAGTAACTCCACTTGTATTTAGGTGCCAAATATCCAAGTGCTGCCCTCACATTTCCTGCTTGCTTATACATCTATACACCTATATACAGCTAAATAAAAAGCTAAGTTAGAACCAGCTACAGAAATATCACTAGCTAGAGAGATCAGCTATTTCCAGCAAGCTCAGTTAAGGCAAAGAGGAATAAAACAGGGCTGTTTTCTGCTTTTCAACAGGTCGGCGCAGTCCCCTTCCCACAGCTGCTGGAAAGCAGACTCCCCAGCAAGGCAAACGACCTTCGGCATCATCACCGGGTTTATGAGCTAGACAAAGAGATAACGTCATGCCCTCTCCCACTCCCTCCGTGTCCTCCCCGCAGTGGCAGGTAGCCAGCCAATCCCGCTCCCGGGTGACATCATCGCTGATGCCTATACTCGAATGTGGAAGTACATCAAACTACATCTCGGAGCACGGCTCCTCAAAGGCAACCTACACCCCACCCCCCAGTCCTTGGGGATGACAGACCGCTTAAAAGGGAAATAAAACCATCCAGGAAGAGGGATTTCAAGAAGTGGTTGCTGGGTAGGAGGAAAGCGGAAAGCAACAAGCAAACACAGCGTAACCTCGTTTTTCCCTCGATTATGCAGTTCCTACGAAAGCCCTCAAAATGTACACACAGAGTTTCACCTTTGGGTGTTCCTGGAGCATTTTTCCTAACAAAAAAGTGGCCAAGAAAAGTTAAATACTATTGCAATAATTAATTTTTTTTTACATAACTTCATTATTTTAAGAAGAAAGATCACAGAATCAGAGAATGTGCTGAGTTGGAAGGGACCCACAAGGATCATCAAGTCGAACCCTTAGCCCTGCAAAGGATGTTTATCACAGCAAGGAAGTCTTTTGGTTCAGTATTTTTTGTTTATGTAAGGCTCTGTTAGGTGTCCAGATTTTCAGTCTCTGTATATAAATGTGGGCAAATGCCTAAGAGGAAGAAGCAGTGCCAACCCAACCTTAAACAACTGTCAATCCACTACTGTCTGGCAGACTCTATAGCAAGCAAGGAGAGTGCCTGTTGCTCCCCCTGTTATCAGTGACACCGACGCAATGCCCTTAGACATCAGGTCTTCATTCAGCTCTTCCATGTCAATAAATGCATGTGTTGAGTTTAATTTCTAATGCTAACTATTCTGGGAGAGTTCTAGCGTACCTAAGGAAAAATAAATTTAAAATTTCTATCGTCAAGACTGTTAAACCACAGAAAACTTTGCCCATTAACTCAAAGCATTAACAAGCAAACCAAGAAACAATGCACCAAATTGTAATAATTAACAGGAGAGTTTCAAGTCACACATTCACGCCCTACTTTTTTTTTTTTTTTTTTAAAGGGTTCAGCTGATGCAAGCTCTGGGAGCAAAAGGATTACAGAAAAAAATTAAATTGTGTCATTTCAATTTTCAGAAAAAAAATGGCAGAAAAAAATTAAATGGTCATAGTTGTGTCAAAGTGCAGCTTCTTACTCATCTCCCTCCTCTCCTCTGACTTTTCGAGCCACATCCTTTTTTCCATCTCTATGCCAACAGCAGCAGCCTGGTTATTCCACCTCAAGTCTTAAAATGCAATTCACACACTGCGCAGGCAGACTACTTCTCCATCAGGAAGGCTGAGGTTCACGCCCTCAAAACATACTGACACGCGTTTCATTTGCAGAAGAGGCACCAAAGTGCTTTATTTAGTTACTGGAGCTGCAAGCAGCAGTATCTTGCCATCAGGGAAACTCACCAATTACACTGCCTTGTTTATAAGCAAAAAAACCAAACCAAAACAAAAAAACCAACAACAACAAAAAACGACAAAAAAACAAAACAAACAGCTAGGCATTCTCAGCTACTTTCAGTTCTCTCTCCTTCCCTCTCCAAACGTATCTTGCATTTTTACAGTTTAAGCCAAGTATTAAGTCTGTGTGAATAATTAGTCATCCTGGTAGCTAACACTCACTGCAGTCATGCAATCTCAAGATTTGTTTGTTCCAGTGACTGCACACTAAAGAGGAAAAAAGAAACAAAAAAAAAAGTAGGCTAGTTTCACACCCACATGGGCACTGTCCGATTTCTATTTTCTAAAGTCATACACTTGTCAAACAGGTTATTCTGGGAATTCTGGTTTTCACAAAATAAGCTTTCCTGCTTCAATCACTTATTACTGTCACTCTGCACCCCCCATTACAGCACAGCCCAGTGGGATCAGATGCACTCGCCCCCAACTCTGTAGCTTCAGCACTTTGAAGGTTTTCCAACAAGGAAACCGGGTGACAATTTTAATTAAGGACAATGTCTTTGTCTAAAGTCACTGCAGCAGCAGCAACTTCCATGAGGATTTCCAACAGCAAATTAGAATAAGCCTGTGGACCTATTTGTATAACCTGGCCACATTCTGACAGCGTCCACTTGGTTTGGTCATTTCTCTAGAGGGAGCACAGGGAGGAATAAGGACAATAAAGAGCTATTTCACCATTTCAGGATGGGTACTTAGGAGAGCAATTTGTGCCCCTTTGAAAAAGCAGAAGCCAAGAGGCTGACAAACTTGTCACGGCCAGCAACAATGACAAGGACAACACTTTTACCACCCCTCACTGTTCCGTTTGCCACAGCGGGTGGCTCGCCTGCAGCCGTGTGCCCAGCCCGGCGCAGGCACCGGGAACCCTCTGGAAAATCGGCAACAATAAAAGGAGAAAAAATTCTGCACAAACCTTGTAAACTTGCCCGTACGTGCCATTGCCAACCACTTCCACGAGCTCAAAAATCCCAGCGGGGTCCTAGGAGGAGGAAGGGGCAAAGGGGTCGGGGGGGGAGGGGGGAAGGGGGAGAAGAGAAGCGAGATTATTACATTTTTGTGAGGCGATGGCTGCTGGCAGAGCCCAGCCAGCGAGCCCGGCTGCTGGCGGCGTGCAGCTGTTGCGCCCTGCTTTTCCACGCACATGCCAATACATGCAAACAAAGGAAAAGCAGCCCAGGGCCGCGCTCCCCCCGCCCGCCCCCGCGGGAGGGCTCCCCCCACGCGGCCGCGGGCCCCCCGCGCCCCGGCACCGGCCCCAGGCCCCAGGCCCGGACCGGCCGCTCCCACCCCCGCCGGACCGGCAGCCCCGGCAAGGGGCGCGCCGGCCCTGGGGGGCCCCCGCCCCGGCCCCCGGCACCGGCACTCACCCGCAGGGAGGAAAGGTCGATATCCACCAGACTTTTTGCAGGAGAATCGTTCGCCATTTTCCCGTCTCTTCTTTTTTTTTTTCCTTTAGTATTTTTTTCTTCTCTGTTAAATAATAGCGAGGCCGCTCCCCCCTCCCTGGAGCAGCTGTGAATTGGGCGAAGCTCCGCTCCGCTGTTCTCCTCTCCTCCCTTCCGCCCTTCCCTTCTTCACTCCAGCCCCGCCGGGTTGAAACTCTTCAGCATTGGGAGGGGTTGGCGGGGGGGATGATGGATAGATAGATGGATGGTGGGAGGAGGAGGGGGGAGAGGGAGGTGAAGGAAGGAAGAAGGAAGGAGAGGGGGTGTTGCGGTTTGTCCGTCTGTCCTCCCGCGTTGCACTGCGGGGCTGGATCCTCCCGAGGATCCCGGCCGGCCGGTCGGTGGGTGAGTGGGTGGGTTGGTGGGTGCCCGCGCGTCCCCGGCGGCAGCGGGCTCACACCATGTCGCGGCGGCGGCGGCAGGAGCGGCGCCGGGGCCGGCAGCCTCTGGCAGCCTCACGATGCGCCCCGCGCCCGGGCATGGCACGGCACGGCTCGGCTCGGCCCAGCCCGGCCGGCGGCGCTCACGCCGGGAGCCGGCAGTGGCAGCCGCGGCCCCGCTCTCGCATGGGGGGGCGGCTCACGCCCAGCGGCGCGGCGGAGCCCCCGCCGCCTCCCAGCCCTTCCCGCGGCGCTGCCCTCGCATCCAACGGCGCCGGGCACCGGAGGGCACGGGCTGCGCGTCCCGGCGGCGGCGGGGCAGGGGCGCGGGGCTGGAGCGGGGTGTTGCGAGCCAGACAAAGATAGCCGGGGAGGAGGAGGAGGAGGAGGAGGAGGAGAAGGAGGAGGAGAAAAGGGATACAAAATATACTGAGAGCGAAGAGAGACAGAGAAAACAGCTCCCCCTTCCCTTCTCCAACAGGAAAAACCGGCGGAAACGCGCCCGCACCAGAGCACTGCTGGGTAAACTCGCAGGCAGAGAGAGACAGAGGGACGGAGGGAGGGAGCGCGGGCGGGCGGGCAGGGAGAGAACCGGCCCCACAGCCCTGCCCGCCCCGCCGCCCAACAATAGCCCTGCGGGGCAGGGGCGACTGAGGGCGGCCCCTTCCCCGCCCCAGCAGTGCCTGGGCCCTGCCGGCGGGGAGCCCCACGCGTATCTGCGGCAGGGCCGTGGGGCTGCGCCACTGGCGGGCTGCTGCGGGCAGCCCACGCTGCCTCTGCCCCGCGGCGAGGGCAGGGAAGGGGTCCTGCCGCCCCCCAGCCCCCACCGCCCCTCTGGGGGACTGCACAGTTGGCGTTGGTCTGTCGCGGCCGGTATTGACCATGGGGTAGGAGTATTTTCCCTTCCCATCCCCCGTGAAATGACCAACAAAATGTCAGTTTCTCCCTGCCCCGAGACCGCAGGCCTACGGGAAAAATATTCCTGCCTCATCAGAGACCTCTGCAGAAAGAGAGTCAAATCCTAGCCCCCAGAACCAGACCCAACTGTCATGGTGTTTTATCACATCATTTCTAACAGAACTGTCTCAGGCCCCATTCCCACCCAGAAGAATCCTCCAGCAGAATCTGAATCGTGGAAAAATCTCATTAACCTCTTTCAAGCTAGATACATCAGGCATTTGCACACAGGTGTAAACCTTGGCAGGGTTTGTTTATCACTGAAGTTCTTTATCACACTGATATGGCAAAAATGTTACCTACTTGCAAGAGGTTGAGTTACATTTCCTGTGGGAACCAAGGTTTTCCTCTCTCTTCTACTTTAACCACAAAATTACATACACATAGCTATAACTATCACGAAACATACTTTTGAAACAAAGCAAACCTGTTGAGCAGAAAGTGTAAGGATAAATTACCTTAACAGTTTAATGGTGTACATAATTTTCACTTAAAGTGTAGATACAAAGAAAGGAAACTCCAGCCTAGGCCAGGAAACTGTTTTTCTCTGTACAGCAACCTATAGTTGGAAAAAGGCAAATTATTTCAAATGGTTTTCACACTGGGTCCACCTGAGTGCATGCACACAGGAGTAAGATCAGGTCTAGAGATGCAGCAGGTTTTGAAAAGTGGATTTTCACAAAGGTTTATTGTCATCACCCTGGTTTGTATTACATGGCTTATTTAACTCAGCCTTTTTATGCATAAGAGAAGACTTGGAAGGTCAGCTCCATTGCCTGTCTGCCACAGCGTCCTGTCTGCAGGTGTAGCCAGTGCTAAATGTTGAAGGAAGATCACAGGGATACTTTAATCGTCCAGTGATACTTCCCTGGGGTATCCTGCTGGTTCTCTACACCTCAGCGTGTTCTTTAGCAGCATTTGGTGTCACTGCATTTCCTATTCTCTGATGATTTTTTCCTTCCATTAGATTGCCCCTTTACTTTGTGGATTCATACATGCTTCTGGCCCTTACGGTGTCCTCTGGCTCAGAGTTCCAAAGCTGAACTAGCATGTTATGTGGAGACCACCTTTGTTCATTGGCTTTGAACCAACATGTGCTAGATTGCAAAAGAAAAAAAAAACCTGCTGGTTCTTGTGTTGGAATAATTTCCTATTCAATTTCTCTGTTATATTAATTTTTTTATAGACTTCTGTTGTGTTGTGTTTCCCGTCAGTTTTTGCCAGCTGGCAAATTCTGGTCTTTTTAGTGATACCATGAATGGAAGCTATTCAATATTTGCCCTTCATTGAACCATTTCTGTTTCTAATGCCTTCTTTTTTAAGACGAGGAAGTGGGTTTCCATATCATGTTCATGATGGGTTCACCATGCAGTGTCATGGTGATGTCCTGATTTCTAGTCTTCTCTTGATACTTCCTTGTTTCACTGTTGTTGAGTATGACTAAGACATTTCTGTGGAACATGTCTATTATAACTCCACAATCCCCTTCTGTAATGTTAATACTACCTTAGAGACTGTTGCTGTGTATTTCTGGATGCTGAAAGATTTTCAAGCCCAAAGTCTGAACCAAAAGTTTTCCAAACCCAGTATATGTAACACTTTTCTTGTGCCCCTGAAAAGTACAGCCCAGGTTTTTTAGAGCTGAGAATCTGAGCCCAAATACACATTTTCACTGTTCTAGCTCTGATGTGGCTCCACCATAGTGTCCCCTCTCTACTCTGAGCTTGTTTTAATGCAGTGAGTTTAGTTCTTTGTTGTGTTTTAGTGTTATACCAGAAGATCGCTGAAGAAGGAAAAGTGCTAACAAGAAGATTATGAATCCTTGAAAAGTAACGCATCCCCTAACTTCAGGGAAAACAATAGTTTTCATAAAGCAGTAAATGCCACAGGAGAGGTTCCTGCTAGTTCCCAGGGTGAAGCACCATGCCACCTCACCTCCGTTTTCCTTCCCACACAAGCAGCAGGATGAAAGGCTTGCTTTCTTGAGGAAGAAGCCTCTCTGGCTGTGGCCAAAACCACTCTGTTCACATGTTCATCATGCTCTTCAGCACAGTATACTTACCCAGTTTGGAAAGTCTAAAGGTTAAAAGATCAAATCTAAAACCACTGGAAAGAAGATGAGTGGTCTGTTTTAACTCTTCCTCACAGTGAAACCAGCACCCTGAGGAGACAGAGTGAGACAGCCATCAAAAATCATAATGAAGATGAAATGCAAGGAAAGGCAATTTCAGCCCTGTGGATAGTCATGCCACACACAGAGCACATACAGTGTTCTCTAATGACAAACAGAGAAGAAGCATCAAAAAATCTGAGTCAGCTCCATCCATTTGGGAACAAAGCAGGAGAGAGTTGGGGACCTGTGCACTGATTTCCATCACCCTCAGACACAGTTGCACCCATTCCTGCTTGTTGTGCTTGTAGCAGTTGAGGGAACAGAAGAACGGTAGCTGCCTGAGTAGTTTCAGCATTCCTGAAAGAGAGGTGCTGAGCCTCCCTTTCTCTGGCCATTTATTCCTGTTCTCTGGCACCTCACCCCTTGTGTCAGCATAAGCATTCATACAGCTGTGCAGTGAGCCAGGGCTCATAGCAAAGCTAGCCCATGAAAGGAAAACAACTTTTAATGTTACTGTTGATCAGGTCTGTGGGCTGCTTCATCATGTGCCTGCTTGGGCAGTTGTGTTGACAAAAGGGAGAGGGGCAGAAGCTGTATGACGGAAGGAAGTGTAACCACAGCATTGCCTCTTGGTTGTGGCTATGGCTTAAGCCAGTTTCAACTCTCGGTGGACCCATAGGGGTAGAACTAGAGAAACTTCCTTCTTTACTGGAAGAAGAACTGTGGGAACCCAACAGTTATGTTCTAGCCACAAAAGAAATTCCTTGCTCTCTATTTTTTTCCCAGTTTGTTGAAATTGTCTTTGTTTTATTATTTTCTACATTTAATGTGCTGGGGCCCTAATAACTGACAGAGATGTAGAGGTCATCAACTGCACTAACTTTTTATGAGCTTAATCATCAACAGTATTCAGGGAGATGAGTAAAGAGACAGGAAGTTCTGAATTTTCATTTTGTTTCTACTACTGATTCATTCCATAGCCTTGGGGCATCTCATTTCCTGTCTCCCTTCCCGTTCTCTGTTTAGAATATGACAGTGATTTTGACCTCCTTGATAGTGTGAAGTGTTAGACATATCACCCATCATACTCTAGGAAAATGGTTCTCTCCTTGGCTGAAAAAGTCTGTGAGGGTGAGGAATATCACAGGACAGAGTAGTGCATGAGGCTGAGTGAGACTTTGCACAGGCTAGCTCTCCTGCTGCAGGTGGGATCCCAACGCCAGAGGGTGGTTGGGAGACATGGAAGACTAGTTTTTCTCCTCATGCTGGTGAGTTCTTCTCATGCTGGTGATTACAACAGATCCTGGGAGCAGATCAATTACAGAAGGATGCCACACAGCTTCCTCCACCTTATGCTCCTCTCCTTCTCTGTTGCTTCCACCACCATCTCACACCTCCATGTGAGAGCTGCTCTATGTGATCACTGCTGGCACACCCAGGTTCTTACATACTGCATCTGAATGTCATATGGGTGGATGTGTTCCTACAGCTCTGGTTGCCCAGTTGCACATACACTGCTGCTGGTGACTTCCTGCTGCTTCTCCCTCCTCAGGGTACTGTACTGCCTCCCAGACCAATGGGTTACCCTCGTTCCAGCATGCAGGCAAGGCTCAGGCAGGTAGCTAGACCCCAAGCTTGGGGAAGCACAGGTAGATGTTGCTGTAGGTGACACGATGTTCCACAAGGCTAAAAAGGAGCAGCTTTCCACCAGCTGTGTGCTTTGAGGCCATCACTGTTCACCACCTGGCTGGCTTCCTCTGTTAGCATTTGGGGGACTAGATTGAAAGGACTGAAACACAGGGACTGCCTAAATATAGCAATCCCACCAGCGCAGGAAGAGTGGCATCGTGAGTCAGAGCATTTTCCTCATCTGCTTGGTACCAGGTGGGAAGGCACAGTACTATCAGCACTG